CAATGGGGAAGCCAGATTAATTTAACATCCGTAATACTAGCTTAATAACTGCAGTGATTCCCTTAACAACCGTGGCAATTTACAGGATTGTAAATTGGGGCAACTGTCACTGAACAACGGTCTTGCTTAGCAATGGAAATTTTGGGCTCCATTGCGGCCCTAAATTGAGGACTACAAATAGTCCTTGACTTACAACAGTTCATTTAGTGACCGTTAAAAGTTACAATGGCACTGAAAAAAGTGACCCTATGACTGTTTTCACACTTATGACGGTTGCAACACCCCTGTGATCATGTGGTTTACATTCAGATGCTTGACAAGTGGTTCATAGTTATGACAGTCCCAGGTCATGTGATCCCCTTTTGCAACCTTCTGACAAGAAAAGTCAATGGGGGAATCCAGATTCACTTAACAACCCATGTTACTAACTAAACAACTTCAGTAATTCTCTTAACAAATGTGATAAGAAAAGTCATAAAATGGGTCAAAACTCACTCAACAAATTTCTCACTTAGCAACATAAATTTTGGGCTCAGCTGTGGTTGTAAGTTGAGGACTACCTGTACTTTAGGTATGACCAAAATAAATAATTAACGTTTCAAGAATGTGTGCATAAACTTACAGCTTTGTCTTACTTTGTGAATACAATCAGAATGTTTACAACTGCAGTGTAAGATTCCTTGGAATTGTTTTCCTCATCTGCCAGTGTTTCAGTTGAGGCTTGTAAAGCTTAACTTTTATTGAAGTAATGATTGACATTGAGCTTTAACAAAGTGGTAATACTAATTCTAAGGACTTTTACTCAGAAGTAGATCTCATGCTTCATGGAGATTACCTCTCCAGCAGTAAGATGCCTTAGGACTATCACTGTAGATATTGTTCATGACAGGTTCTTTTGAATTTCAATCAAAGCCATTGGATCTTACTTCCAAGTAGATTTATTTTGGAATCTGGTATAAATAACCTAGATGCAGAGCTTTCGAAAACATTACAGTGATTGTTTCTGGATGTCCAAATTACGAATGAAATGTTTGGCAGCTTTGTTGTACACTATTGATTGCTCTATTTCTTCAATTTTTTATAAGATTAAAAGAGCAACGTGTTACAACCATGTATATTCTTTTTTCCCAGAATTGCCATTAGCATCTTGCCTTGAACATTAACAGTTTTTTTTCCGAAAGTCTTTTTAAAATTTTGTTTGATATACATTTTTTTAGGTTATTGCCATTTTGGGATCAATAACTATTACTTATTTATACTTCTAGTAACTGAGTTTTAATGTATGCAGAGAAGCTATCCTGATAGATAGCAAGTAGTAAGTACCTGTGTTATCTTTAATTTATGGGTTGATAAAAATATTTAGAAATTGAACTGGTGTGATATTTATAAATCCATGCACAAATCAAGGCAATGGCTCAGCTATATGGCCTGACCCAAAAAAAGATGAAGCACCCTTATGAATGACAGTTATTTAGATAAGCTAACCAATGAAGTGAAGCTCATTGAGTTACTGGAGAGCAGCATCATTGAAAACCTTTCAATGCATTCTGTCTGTAACTTCCAGGCAGCAAACATTTGCCTTATGCCAGTGTTTCTCAACCTTGGCAACTTGAAGATGTCCGGACTTCAACTCCCAGAATTCCCCAGCCAGCATCTACCTTAAGCTCTTTCACTATGATAATTATTCCAAAGTCTTTTTTTTCAAAAGCCCAATTGAAAAAGGTAGGGACAACCTATATGAATCTGAAACATTGTTTATTTTTAATGTGATGTTTATTTTTA